GACAGATCCTGAATTGCACTTGTGTCCCCCAGTTCCGTGATTCTGACAGAGCTTCTGCTGAACTTTTCAGAGCCTCAGCTATTGCACTGGGACGAGCGATCCCAGTCCTCTGCTTCACTCTGAGAGCTGAGCTCCAAACGTTCTCGCTGCCTCGAGAGCACCACGATGCTGTCACACATGAGTGGTATATTCCCAGTTGTCTAAAGTCGTTCTTAGTGGTTGGCTTACAGTGAAAGTTTGAGTACTGTCAGGAGCAGAACTATCCATAAAAAGGATCTATTCTGAAGTTATGAAAATATTATTCCTATGTTACAACGTTTATTTCAGACCCCATCACTAAGTGTTACTAAGTTTAATTCGATTTCCTGTTCTCTAACCCTTTCTGTAGGAAGCCAGACCCCTCTGCTGTCCCAGTGCAAAGACTCCTTATCTGCCCCAGCAGGCTCTGCAGCCTCAGAGGAGAGTGCTGTCAACTGCTCAGGTGACGACGTCCCCACACATCGACAAACCCTCCCATTCCCTGTATAAATACCCGCCATTGACTGGTCTCTCTCTGTCCCCCCAGAGAGCAGACAGCTCCGCCTGGTGGACGGGGACAGTCGCTGCGCCGGGAGAGTGGANATTTCATGTGATTTTTTATCAACCACCTGAACAGTCCACCTAGTTTAATTGTCCCGTGGTGTTTTTATAAGCTCTATTTTATTGTTTCCTTTTTTTTGAAAAATTCTAACCATTTTCCAATCATTCAGCATCATTCACAGTTGTTGGGCAAGTAGATCCACAACAGCTACCCTAACTTCACTTTTAGTATCACCACATAAGCAATCCAAAGGTGCTTGCATTCTCAATATTTCAGACCCCTCAGGAGGAATATTCCACTTAAAGGTGGAGTTGGACAACTCTCTTATTCAGAGGATGAGTTATTTACCTCTGCCTTTGTCTAACTAACTAGATTGAAAGTCTGTCTCTCCACCCACATTTCTGCAAAAGCTCAGCAAACTGAGGGTCTTAAGTAAGACTGGACATTCCTTTCGATTCAGCAGAACCTTGTATTAGATTGTATTATAGGAATAGCGCTGACCTCCTCTGCACAAAATCTATTAATTGGAGTTTGGAAAAGAATATTTACACTGGTCCACAGAGCGGCTTAAACATTTTACCTAATATCACCTATATTTTAGGACTTCTTGATTCCTTTCCCCTGCAACTTATAAGATCGTTTAAAGTTATTTACCTCTGCCTTTGTCTAACTAACTAGATTGAAAGTCTGTCTCTCCACCCACATTTCTGCAAAAGCTCAGCAAACTGAGGGTCTTAAGTAAGACTGGACATTCCTTTCGATTCAGCAGAACCTTGTATTAGATTGTATTATAGGAATAGCGCTGACCTCCTCTGCACAAAATCTATTAATTGGAGTTTGGAAAAGAATATTTACACTGGTCCACAGAGTGGCTTAAACATTTTACCTAATATCACCTATATTTTAGGACTTCTTGATTCCTTTCCCCTGCAACTTATAAGATCGTTTAGTGATCAACGGTAGAACAGGAACCATATTCTGATTTCAAGAGATATCTTCCCAACTCTTTTTGGATGTTATGGCCTTTCCTTTACAGAATAAATCACCAGCCATAACTCTGAGGCTATGGCAGTCTCAGACTGATTCTCAGATACTTTTATTTTCACTAAAACAGACAAAAGCAACCAAGATAACATATTCAGTGATTAGGATGAGGTACCTATTTTTTTTGTAGAAATGTACAAGCCAGTTCTAAAATCTATGTGAAATGGAATGAAACTGGAATGGGCAAAACAATTTTGAAAAATAAGAACAAATTTGGAAATTACCTGATTTCAAGGCTTATAAAATTATAGTAACCAAAACAGTATGGTCTTACAGTAAGGGTATACAGAGATAGATAGATGAAAAACGAAAGCAATTAAAAGCTAAGAACCCATCCTTGTGTGAAGCGGTCTACTTTCCCCTCTTCCTCTGACGGCGTGTGTTTTCTAGTAACAGGGCTTCTCCTCGTGGACAGATCCTGAATTGCACTTGTGTCCCCCAGTTCCGTGATTCTGACAGAGCTTCTGCTGAGCTTTTCAGAGCCTCAGCTATTGCACTGGGACGAGCGATCCCAGTCCTCTGCTTCACTCTGAGAGCTGAGCTCCAAACGCTGCCTCGAGAGCACCACGATGCTGTCACACATGAGTGGTATATTCCCAGTTGTCTAAAGTCGTTCTTAGTGGTTGGCTTACAGTGAAAGTTTGAGTACTGTCAGGAGCAGAACTATCCATAAAAAGGATCTATTCTGAAGTTATGAAAATATTATTCCTATGTTACAACGTTTATTTCAGACCCCATCACTAAGTGTTACTAAGTTTAATTCGATTTCCTGTTCTCTAACCCTTTCTGTAG